CACATAGGTGTATCGTTTGACGCTATGTTGAGGTATACCGGTGTGAAACTTGAGCTTCTAACAGTCCACGATATGCTCTTAATGTTTCAACTTGGTATTCGTGGGGGATTAGCTTTGACAGTAAAGAGGCACACGCTCGAGATAATCACCCCGAGGTTGATGGAAATGATCCAAGCAAACCCAATACTTATTTACAGTATTTGGATGCGACAAATTTGTATGGATCAGGTATGATTTATAAAGAAAGAAGTAAATTAAATATGTCTAATGTAATTTGTTGTGGTTTAGCAATGATGGAACCTATGCCGTGTGGAGAGTTTAAGTGGTCTGACATGGAGCTTGACAAGATCATGGACACAGAAGACGATAGTGATCATGGTTACCTCGTGGAGGTTAACATAGATTACCCGAGTCATTTGCATGATCTGCACAATGATTTACCGTTTTTACCAGTAAACTAACGTCCACCACTGAGGGGTGTTAAATATAACAAGTTAATGACCACATTTAATCCAAAAGACAAATACATTGTTCAATACCGTGCCCCCAAGCAAGCTGTTGACCACGGACTGGTAGTCACCAAATTGCGCAGAGTCATGAAGTTCAAACAGTCTCGATGGACGGCTCCGTACATTGAGCTAAACACAGAGTTGCGAAAATAGGCTACAACTGCTTTTGGCCAAACGGTGCCAAAGTTGATTAACAATTATTGCTATGGTATAATAATAATTGTAGTATTATTTGAAGTAAAACTATTTTTTTTTAATATTATTATTTTACAAGAAAGACTTTGGAAAACGTGAGGAACCATCAAGTTATTCATTTGGTCAGCTGTCCGGAGAAACTGTCGAAACTGGTGTCCAAGCTGTCGCTCAAAGACACTACCATATTTAATGAAATGATTGTTACCGTACATATGTATAAAGAAAAAATAAATTTGTTGTTGTAACGGTGTAGGCTGCAGCTTTTTCCCCGAATGAACTATCTATTGCTTTCACCCTATCCCACGCACGAAATTCTAATTTTTTATCAGCCATACAATGGTTTGTTAGGTCTTTATTTTTTAAATACGCTAAATCGTAATCACGACAAGCATCATCGTGAATATTTATAGGTTTATTACCTCTAGCCAGTCTTTTTTCAAGTTTTGTTCCAGATCGACAATATTTATAACCTGGTAAATGTGCTTCAAACGGAAGTTTATTTATAAGTGTATTAACGAGACCTTTACCGGTTAGACACTTTCACCCTCTTGGCATTTCCTATATATACCAAGTATTTTTTCTTAGTTTACAATTACTATATATACATAAAAAAATGCGTTTTATAGAACAGAATAGTAAATTAAATATTAAAACTATACACACATATACACAGAAAATTAAAAACATGGATCTTTGTTACCAGATAGTATTCGACGTATTATTGTCAGACCTAGCGGTTCAGGAAAAACAAATGTAATGTTTAATCTTCTTACACATATAAACGGCTTAAAATTTGAAAACGTTTATAGTTATAGCGTGGTATTGCTATAGTGGATGCGCATTACCATTTTATATACATAGATGTCAGTAAAAATGGACGCATGAATGATTCGCATATTTTAAAAAACTCAAATTTTTACTGAGACTTTCAAGAAAATAATTTGGGACTACCTAATAAGGCCGTTTTCGTTGAAGCGTTTCCTTTGACAAAAAATATTATGAAGCTCTATTCAAGAAACGACGGTTTGTCATAAACAAAACATTTTGTAATTCAAAACTTTTAATTACAGATTGTTAAGTGCGCGTTGAATCGTAGAAAATGCTTTTGGTATAATCGCCTCCCGATTAAGAGTATTCAGAAAACCTATATCTGTTTCATTGGATAAAACTGATTCAATTATTAAAACGGCATGCGTGTTGCATAACTGGCCTCGAACAAATAGTGTATACTTGACCACTCCTGGTTAAGTATACACTGGTCAAGTATATATGATACTTTTCACTACGAATTGTCATAAAGGAAGTAAGTTTGTACAAATACATTTTATAATTAAACTATATGAACTTGAGTTATGAACAATCAGAATCGATGTCTGGAGCCTATCTGATGTCTGTCCTAAAACATTACAAAATAATTAAATATATATGTCACCATTTAAGTTTCAAATTGTAAAAAATGTGTAAGTTTTTAAGCTACAATTTTCCTCTAGGCCCTAATATCGGTCACCTAATTTTCTCTATTGAGATTCGACTCTTTAAAATTGGTATTTATAAAACATTATTTTTGGTTAACGAAGTACATCTTTATGGATCAGGAACTATTTGAATGTGGAAGACAACTTTTTTCTTTACAGTCTATATCCACGGTTAATGCACAAAATGTTCTATTTATGTTTGTCCAACAAAGATTCTCCGGTATAAATTGGTCCACATTCGTTATCAATTTAGTGAACCGTGAAATTTAAAATTTTTTTGATAGCATTAACGAAAATTGGTCTTAATCTTCCAGTAATATAAAATATAAGTTTACCAAAATGTACTCCGAATGGTTTGACATGGCATTTTAAGTGTTTCCAAATAAAACCAAAGATTCCGCTTTAAAAGCCGGTTTACGCTCTCTACCATTCGTCAAATGTACAGAAAGAACTAAACGGCTTAAAATAAAATACCATTAGCGAGTAATGTTGGATTAACATTCCACGAATTAGTATCTATTTCACTACATAAGTTAAATAAATCTGGAAAATAAAGTGTAGTCCAACTATTTAAGGAGGCTACAGCATCACTCAAACGTGCGAAAATTGTTTTAGATATTTATAAAAAGTTTAATGATATAAAACCCATTTCTTATTGTGCTGACGAAGCTTTAGCTTTTTTTGTTGGTAATAATTTAACAAAACAACAATAAGTCGGTTATCTGCGAAAAAAGAAATTCCGATATTTATCCTTCAAATGAGAATATTATAGCGGCAAAAAAAATGTTACCCGGACCATTGCATTATTACAGAAACTCGTTATAAAGTCGAAATGCAAGATCTTTTAAATCATACGGCCAAAAGATTATTTATATCTTCAAAAGATAGAAGTCAATGTTATCGAGGACCAAATAAAACAGTTGATTCTAACAAGTATACCCATTAAGAATAAGGATTTTTTTGTTTCTCATAAATTAATGTTTACCATGGTCGATGGCAAGGTAATTTTTAGTAATACTATAATGTAAAAACAAAATTATGCGGAAATAGGTATGCAATTCAATGACGTATACGTCAAGCCAAGTATGTTTCATCTGTGGATCACCCCCTAAACAGATGAATTATATTGACTAGATGAGAACATGATATGACGTTAAAGAGGATACATTAAAATTTGGATTGTCTACGCTACATGCTTAGATTCTGTTTTTTGAATGTCTACTACACGTTTCTTCACGCAATGGTAACACGAATGCTGAGAACACCGCTAAGCGATTTTTTAAATACGCTGAAAAAAGTCCAGAAATTACGGGTCTACATTTAACAACATTATTAAACGTTGTGGGACAGATTTATTTACAATCGCCAGTGGTTTTGACGTTAATATAGACTTTGATCGAAACGCGTTGTATACTAGTAGATTATTTGTTCAATTGTATCCTAGGTATTATATGCGTGCTAGCATGCATGCAATATCAATACACGGGGCTGATGTAATTCGATTCGAATTTCTTTCGATTGGTAAGTCTACTACTAAGATTTAATTCTGTTAAGATTAAACTGCTTGTTTAATTACAATTTTAATATATTTTTAATCATAACCATAATTATTCTTATGTCAAAAATTATTACTATTAATCTTGATTCCCAAAAAAGACATTAAATGTAAGTATACATAAAAAAATGAAACTTAGGGAAAAAAAAAATAAATTCAGGGACACTATCTGAAGAAGCATAAAAGGCAAGAAACAAGGACTATAAAAATATTCGAGAACACCATACTCGGGAAAACTGTAGAAAAAACAATCTGATCGTTAATATAACAAGAAGCATTAGGTCTTTTCTAAGAAAGCCTGAGGTTGTGATGTGTGATCCGCTTACAAACTGGAGTCGCAAACCGGTCGAGTCGAGATTCCCCGAATCGTTCGAGTGATCTCTTCCAGGCGCACGACGGACGTGTTATAATTAAAAACCGGTTATGTTAAAGAATAAAAATCCGTATAGTTTGGTCGAAAAACCAAAATCCGGTTTAGACGTTTTAAACGAAAGTCGACGACTCGTATAAACATATTCGTATTATGCACAATTTTGGCGATAAACAACACCAATAATGAAAACGAAATGTATAATAATGTGTAAACGTATTGTATTGTAAAAGCTCAATTATGTATATTGTCATTAATTAACCAATGTCTGGCTTATAGCCTAGCAGCTGAAGCCATAATAAAAAAATAAAAAAAAATTACAAAAAATGTCAGACAGTTATACGGTTTTTGTAGTCTAAAGCTCAGACTATCATTTTAAAGAAACCTATCCGATATGGTGGTTAAGAACAAACCCCATACTGTCCGTATAAGGATTGCAAATATATATTTTTCCGGTATTCACTTGACGTTGCGTCCAGACCGAGAGCCGTTGTGTTATTATTTTTGGTAAAATTTGGTCTAGAAAAAAAAAAATAGATAAACATAATTTCGGTAGTAGTTATTTTGTGGGGATCTCTTTCAGGGCCGATTTTTCGTTTATATCACTCGGATATGATCCGAAACGACAGCATAAGGGGCCGGTTGTTTATATAATAATTCCGTCATAACGCGGTTTAGGTTGCTGGCCACGTAGAAAATTGGGAAATATTTCCCGCTTAGCTATTTGCTCAACAAATCGTCAACGAATTCGTTGTAAACAACGTGTCCGGAGTGAAGTCAAAATAATTACAAAATATAATTTTTGTACCGTGCCGTCTTATGGTGTTGTTTGGTTCGCTGTCGATTTTCCATCTAAATTATAGAGTATATTTTTGCCAAATCGTTTGAAAACTACCATGAAAGTGATCGATTCGGAACCGGGCTCGTGCACGCGGCTGTTTTTAGGCAATTTGCCTAAACTGAAATCCGAGTCGGATATTTGCGCCGAGGTGGCAACGGTGGCGCCTGGCCTGATCCGGGCCATCACGTACAAGAGCCTAGACGACCCGGACATGCATCGCGGCTTTTGTTTCCTGGACTACGAGACGCCGGCGCAGGCGGCCGAGGCCAAGAGCCGCCTGAGCCGATGCACGGTGTTCGGTTGCAAGACGATTGTGGACTGGGCGGACCCGGAACCGGAACTGGACGAGGAAACGATGCGATCGGTGCGCATACTGTTCGTCCGGCAGACACCACTCCCGTTGACGGAACGGGCCCTCGCCGAAGTGTTCGGCCGGTACGGCCGGGTAGAACGTGTCAAGACGCTCAAGAACTTTGCGTTCGTGCACTTTGCCCGGCGCGACGATGCCAAGGAGGCCATGGACGCGCTGGACGGCATCACTGTCGAGGGCAGCGACGTCCGTTTCGACGTGTCGTGGGCCAAGCCGCCGGCCGACAAGAAAACTCGAGAACGAGTGTTGCGGGACCGCGAGAGGCGTATGCAGGCGTCGCTCACCGAACGGCCCAAGACGTTCAGGATGACGTCCACCGTTGCCGGCGTCTCGCGGCCGCCGAGGCCATCGTCGTTGGTGGCCGAATCGAGCGAAGAGTCCGCCGAAAACGGGTCGTACGCTTGTTACGACAGCTATCGTTATGATTTCAACAGGCCGCTAACGTTTGCGTGTCAACCGTCTCCGATTCTTCGGCCGGCGCCGCAGTCGTCATCATCGTCCCGTTGCGAACTGTTCTGCCCGTGCGGCTTGAGGACCAAAGCGGACGCACCGGCAGAAGAGTCCGAACGCTCATTCGCCGCTCAAACCCGACCGCAATGGGACGTCGTTCGGTCGCCGTACGATCACGGAGACGGCGCGAATGTGGTTCTACCTACGCTGTCTGAATTAACAACAACCAATTCTGCCGCCGGACCCGTCGCTACTGGCACTGACATCGACAATATGATATTAAAATTTTTCCACAAAGTCGTTTTGGGCGGTACCCAAGCACAGGTGATGTTAAATTTCGAAAAACCAAAAGTCACATATAGTTAGTTGATATAAAATAGTTATGTATATTTATACAATTATTTATTTATTAATGTATATATTAGTTTATGTTTATATATATATATTAGAAAATAATCATTTAAGCAATTAATAATTTTTAAATTCGCTTCGTCGGTCAGCCAGCTCGCTATGATACGACCCTAGAAAAATGTCTTGACGAGTCGAGTCATAAACTAGGGTTCCCATGGGGAACCCTCCGAACTTTTATGGGTCCGAGCGGCCCTAAGCTCATCAAATAACGAGTCCTTTACCCACCTTAACAATTTTGGTAACAGTTAAAATACAATATTATAATAATACAACTTACTTCGGTGTATTTAATAAAGTAAACGTTTTAGAAACGGAATATTTCAGTGGTTGATTTTATTATCAACTAATTAATAAAAAAACATTTTCTTTGTATTTATAAGAAAAAAAGGAAATTGGTAAGAAAATATAAATTCATAATTATTTTAAATACTCGACAATATTCAAAAACGATTTTTATCTTTTAAACTAAGTGTAAATAAAATGTACAACATTTTAGACAAATGAAAAAAAGTTAAACCTAACGTGAAATACGAGTTTTTTACCGTGAATTTTAACAAGAATTTTAACTTGTCATAATCTGCCAAAATCTGATACAGGATTTTGTACTTGATCTCCACTCCCTTATAATTCCCTGAATAAGGTGTGAATTTTAAAATTATAAAAATTTTCAACTCAATGACCACTAAAACATTAAGTACCACCTTTTTATAATTTTTTAGGCAAAATTCTGATCAATATAAGTTTTTTCCACCTAAAATTACGTTTCCAGTCACTGTGTCTGACTCCAAATAAGACACTGACTATAATTTTAACCCTCATATGTCTAATTTTTGGATATTTCTAGCAAATATATTTCAAATTAACTAATTTAAACTCACTAAGCTCTTCGTTTATTGTATTGTTAATAAAAGAAAAATGTCAATTATTATTTTGTATTTAAAATGTATAAATTTGATTTACTTTAATAGACTAAGAAGATTCATACATAAGATAAATTATAAAACAAGCTACCGTAAAATAATTTCATGGAGTGTCAATTGTAAGAAAATAAATTAAATTTCTAAGCTGAGTAATTCGAACTCAATGTTCCCCATTTTAAAGTTTAATCCTGCAATTATTGCTATAAAGATTGCAAAGATACATTATTGTTCAATTGTCTGTATATTAAACACTTTTTCTAAAGAGTTTAAGAGTATTTGCCTCGAAATTTCTTTGAAATTTTGTGGATTTAAGCACAAAAATCAACGCAGAGTTGTCCGTATTTTTCAAAAGCGATTTGTTGCAGTCGGCTGTTTGCGCTCATAATAGACAGGGGCTTCCCTGAACTATTTTGGGCACGAGCCGTAGCCGGCCGGGGCTGCTTTCCGATCGGTCGGACGGACGGCCGAAGGTTTCCTCGATAACCCTTATTAGACTATCGGGTGATATAAAACATCACCCAATAGTTTGATCGGTCGTCATTCGCGACGTATTAATTGTTGTTACATTGTTGTGCAATTTTTGTAATATAACCGTTATCAACATTATTATCAGTTTTTTTCTTCGGATTGTGACGAAATCCTTTTGCTACAGCATTATTTTCAGGCAATATAGCTGCATGCGGGTAAGACTCATGTGTGTGGACATACATTTGATAACGAATCATATTCGTCTTTAGTCATTATTTAAGCGTATTAAAAGTTATTTATTAATATTTTTGCTAATAGTCCGCCATCCTGGAGCGGCAGGTGTATGATAAGTCTAAACAAAAATGTATTTAAAAAATCTTGATGTCAGATGGCCGGGATATAATTAATTTTAACGAATTTGCTGGTATTTTACCAAAACTTGGAGCGGACATATCAAATAGTTGATACGGTCTGCAAGTGCATGGTACGTTTATAACGTGCTCTTATCTCATTGACTTCTCTGTTAGATGGCTTTCTATCGTGTTTTTCAAGACACTTGCTATATTGACTAGCGTTCAATAACTATGTATTATACGCATTGATGAACGCTCATTTCGAGACTTTTAAGCGAATAATTGCCAAGTATCCTAACACGTTTCAAATTATAGGTATATAAGCTACATGCGGAACGTTCAAGTTTTATAAAATGACACAAATCAAGAGACAAAAAGGTGACAAAGTATTTGCAGAAGTTCAAACGAAAATAGCTAGAAGTCAACTGAAAATAGAAGATATTGAATGCTGGGCAAATGATACAGTCATATAAGGATCATATAAAGGACATAATTACTATTGATATTTCCCTTACAGAAATTGGCAGTACCTTATTTCAGGCGTATGTATATTATCATAGCCTAGACTGTCTTATATGAAGCAGATCATGTTAGACTTAAGTAAGGGATCCTATAACAAACTGAAGTAGGTTACTATGGATAGAGAAGAGTGGAGGAACATTTCATTATTAAACCAATCTACGGATTTCTTTTCAATCCGTAGGTTGGTTAGTATATTAACAGTTTTCATTACTTAAACTAGAGCTTCGCTCTAGCTGGGGGCTCCACTCCCAGGCCTCCTAGTCAGGCGGGTAGGTTATAGATTCCGGGTACTGTACACGGCTACACCGATTTTGTATATAGTGGTTCTGATGATAGTTCTTCTGATATTATTTCACGTAGTAGTCATAATTCAGACACAGAACAAGAAATTGATTCATCAAGTGACGAAGAGAGTTCTAAGTCTGCAGGTAATCAATTTTTTTTTAAAAAGATGGTACCAAATGGTCAAAGTTTCCTATAGCTCCCACATCGCGTACTCGTAGGCATAATATAATTACTCATTTACCTGGTACCAAAAGACATGGAAAAAACGCGAAAAATCCACTTGAATGTTTCAATATTTTAGAAACAGAAAGTGATTGAATATTTTGTCTTTTTTTATACTGTTATCAATCAATGAAATTAAAAAGAGTAAATTTTGTTTTTTTTAAAATTTTAAATACAAAAAATAAATTTAATTCAAGTGTGTTTTTCGGATTTTTATTGTATTTTTTAATATATTTGTTTGTTAAAATGCAAGTTGTTCTCTTTTTTTAAGCATGGGTATTCTAATAGTTATATGATTAACATTAATTATAAACAGCCTATTTTTCTTATTTATTTATAGTCCTAAAGTGGAAAATACTGACTGGTGTTCTATAGTGCGCCACTCGCTTACTGACGTTAAGAAATAGGGCACGCCTACTGCAGGGTTAATAGTACATCATTTTACAGTCTATGATATAAAAAGAAAAGTGGGTTACTGTTTTTTATGGAATGAGTCGGAAGGAGGCCTATTATCTCACGAATTTAGGTCAATTATAATATACTTCCTTCAGAAATTCGTAATTGAACAAGCTAAAGAAAGTGAAGTTGAAATTATACTATTCAGTGATGGATGTACATACCAAACCGCAATGCTACACTATCCAACGCATTATTAAATTTGTTTGTTTTATCTGGTGTGACTATTACACAAACATTTCTAGCACGTGGTCACACACAGATGGATGTTGACATCTTGCATTCTACCATAGAAATAAAAATAAAAAATAAAATAATAAATGTGCCTGCTGATTATGTTGCAATATGCAAAACTGCATGTACTAAACAACCATATACAGTTGAGTATTTGACAAATTAATTTTTTAAATCATTTGCTGTTCTTAAATGTTGTAAATCTATACGGCCAGGAAGTAAAAAACGTGACCATTTCGTGACTAATATAAAAGCTCTAAATAATAAACCACAAAAAGAAATCGACTATAAATTAAGATTGTCTGAAGATTGGTCTACTCTTCCACTGTTAAGAGGTAATAGACAGAGTGTAATGAACTATAAAGAATTACCACAACTACATATGGATAGAAGAAAAATTAAAAAAGAAAAGTATGAACATTTGCAGCAGCTCAAAACTACGATGGAAAAAGACTATCATAATTTTTTTGATAACTTGCCATTTTAATTAAAATTTGTTTTATATTTTATGAAAAACCTATTGAAAGTTATTTAATAATATTGTAACTTTTATTTTATTTTATTCAAAGACTGAATTTTGTAATACCAAAGGTGTTGTAATACTATACATATATATAGTATCAGAGTGCGAGTAGTAGTAGTAGATGATAATCAAGTATTTAACACAAATAGAGTTATTACAATAATAGATATATTATACATAATATATACAACACAGTGAAACAATAATACACTAGTAATATGTATAAACTGAATAGAAATACTGAGCCCCGAGCCCTTAGATCAAATGCTATTTATATTAACCCACAAGGTTGCACGCGTCTACACATACACGTGTGCTTACAAAAACAACTTTGTTTTTCTATAACATTTCCTGGTTAACAACTACGTATTTTTATTATACAGATAAACAACATATTTATACATTGTGAAATACTTCTTGATATATAGAATATTAATTATTATTCCAACACACCCCCTTAATTAATATTTTCTTAACACTATATTAATCTTCTGTGATCCTCTTCACGCCTATGATTGACCGTAACTTTTCAAGTCTGTCCTTGGCTAATGGCTTCGTGAAGATATCAGCTAGTTGGTTTTCTGTTTCTTTGTACTGTAGTTCAAATACACCTTCTTCAAACTTCTCCCGAATGAAATGATAACGAACATCAATATGTTTTGACCTCTTGTGAAAAACTGCATTCCTAATCAAACGAATAGTACTTTAATTATCTATATACAAAATAGGTTTATACAATCCCTTTTCATTAGTTAATTCAGTTAACAATCTTTTAAACCAAATTAAACTTCTTATCGATTCGCAGCTAGCGACGAACTCAGCTTCAGTTGAACTCAGAGTAACTGATGCTTGACGTTGTGAATTCCACCCTATTGTACAAGGTCCCGCAACAAATAAATGTCCCGAAGTAGATCTTCGTGTTTGAATGTCGCCGGCATAATCCGAATCGCTGTAGACACTCAACAATAAATT